AGGGATCAATACCTTAATAGATACTACTTGTTAACAACTATTACATTTTTTTCTTTTTGCATAAATATCCCTGCATATTTTCAATTAATGTTTTTTAAAGTATGCACTGACTGTATCTTTGAAATCTGTGTGTTTTTCTATTGATTTGGGTGCATTATTCTTCAGTATGCAGTTATCACGCACATGGTTTTCAAATGTACACACACTGTTAAGTGTTTTTTTCCCTATCTTCTTTTGGTCCATAAAACATATGGACTTCAACTGCAGATTGTGTTTGAATTTATGCCAATCTGCTAGGTGTGAACTGGATGACTCCTCATCAAAAATAAAATGCAACATATTTCTCATACAGAGAAATTTCTTACCAATATCTTTCCTTTCTACATTATCTGGCATGTTGGGTCATGTGGAGGGCCCCCAAGGACAGAGAAGGATCACCTCCCTGCAAGATCACCCTCCATGTATAGAAAGTGACAAAAGCAGCTACAGACGGGGGCAGGAGTGCGTGCTCCCCCTCCTCATATGTTTATGCACTATGCTTTCTGGAATGACTGAACAGGGGCAAAATATCTCTTACACTGTTACACAGATGAGCAATCAAAAATGGAGGGATACTATTAACCACTGTACTGAAGCAATGCAAGACAGGGGAGAGCTTCTCAAGTTTCTTGGTGGCCCGTGGCTGAATCTGTGTTAGATTAACAAGCAATCTGCCATCACATGGTGTTGGTTTGAAAAGTTCCTTTATATACATTCTCCTCCTCTCTCCACTGAAGTGAATGGGAAATTGATGGCTACATATATGCATGGTAGAGCACCCAAAAAAAGACTGCAAGACATTATTGTCCTTGTCAGTATAAAGTCTGCAATGGCATCGCTACCTACTACAAAAACATTGCTTTGCAGAGCATATTACAACACATAGTTCTCATGTTTCCTCATAGGAGTTTCATAGCAAAAACCATTATTACATTATTGATTAAATGCTTTGTGATAAACACAAAGGCTGTCAAGGAGGCAGAAGACCAAAGAGGAACAGAAGTTAATTTAAAAATAAAATCTGCACTGGAAGGTGGTATGGATAAAACGTTGACATTAATTACCGAAAAGCCATTCTGCAAAATTGCTAACAAGGAACATGGACCTCAGAGGTGTCTCTGAGTCAAAGTAATGATTTGCCTTCTAGAGTCGGAAAGCTTGAGAACAGGGAGGGTACAAATATGATTGTGGATACTCTTTGGTGCCTGGCATGTACTTCCTGCCTCTGTTCCAGCAAAGTGCTGGCAGTTATTATATTTTATTATATATGTTTTACTGTCAACTGCAATTTTGTGTTTTTGAAGGTTGCTAGCTACCCTGGGCTCTTAGTGAAAAATGGTAGGGTTTAAAAACAATACTATGTATGACTTGTAGTCCAAAGGCATGAAAGGATATGTGCATCTGAAGACAGCCGTCTGGTGACATTCCCCTTCGACTGTGGGGTGAAAGCACTGGTGCATCCATAGCATGAAATCTGAACTGAAAGCTTCCCATCTTTATTGAGGCATGGCTCTTTAACCTATATAGTGAGTTCCAAAAGCCTGCAGGAATGGAAGCCAGGTTCTGCTTGTAGATCTCCCTCACTAGCTTGTGTCCAAGCCTTGCTTCTCCCATTCTTTATTTCCATTCCTCTTGGTTTCTTTTGAAATCTGGTTCAGCAAGCTAATGGTCACTGCATCAGCAAGTAATTCAGTGTGGTGGTTTCCTGTTGTTTATAACGTGTTATTTATATCAAGCAACTCGGGAAGCAATTCACCACTCTATCCTCCACCCTTTTTTGGGGTTTGGAGGGTGAAAGACATGGTGAAAGTGCCTAGCATTGCATGGAGAGCTTTTTCACATCAACCACTTCCTTCGGACAGCCACAGATGCTGTTGTGTACATGTATGAGAAGGGCTAAAAACACAAGTAAATAGAAGTAATATTTTGTACCATGCTATGTGTGTAAATGCCCCATATGTAGTATTATCGTTAACTTTTTAAATTTGATTTAAAATGTTGTTCAGAGTGGACAAATCTTCAGCATTCAGTATTCACCAACAGTTGAAAACAAAGTGCGATTGTCTTGAACAATTATCTCAAATCCAGAGCATGAAAACAAAAATCTGTTTATCGATGTACACTCATTAGAAAGTACATAGTTACACTAAGAAAAAAAATCAATGCACATGTGACACCCTGCTGAGCTCGACTCAGTGCCAGTGTGAATGGAATTGGGAGCCTGCTCAGTATTTAGTGACAAGCCTTGATTCTGTTTCCTGAGCCTCAATCATCTGTAATGTAATTAACACTTTGCACACTGAATATTCACTGCACCACCACCCTGTTTTCTTGTTTTGACTAAAAGCAAACTTGGCTAGATAAATTTCATCTCAGCTATGTGATAGCTATTTATTCATTTGGTTGGATGAAATTACAGGCCTTGAGATGTCTGTAGAGTTCAAAGCTTTCTTCCAGGGCTTGTTTCACTTACTCTGTTGTCAAACTTTGATGTGGAGAATAAGTGGAGGGCAACACTTTGGGCTGCTTACTTTCATTCTTTTAATTGTTGAAGCCTTCCCTCGGAAAGATATTTTTTATAACTCTGAGGAGAGATGGGTCTTTTGAGTGCTAGATTACATGGTTGGGACACTAAATAGAGACATTAAAATTGCACAGTATACTCTAGGATTACAGATGGTCTTCTACTACAGATGCCATTACAAGGGCATAGTCCTGTCCTGAAGATACACAGATTGCGAGGTCCTTGGATTTGTCAGAACCCTACTGTGCTGGAGAAACTACCTTGTTGTCACACCCATATATATATATACACATCAGGGAAATATGCCCAATATGGCAGCATAATGTGAAAATATGCCATTGGAAGGGCCAAGACAAAGTGATAGCTTGAAATGGCATGAGACATCATAGACAGGGCATGGGTAGCACAGGAGAAGAGCACCTATGTGCCATATGCATAACACCTCCTCATCTGCACCCAACTGATAGTCCATATCTGGCACACAAATTCCACTCCCATTGCCCATGGTGTCCATGGGTGGGAAAACATTTAAAATGACTTCTTGGCCATTGATAGCCACCAGGCATATATCACAACAGAGCATAAGACAGAGTACAACTCAACACCAAATGCCTGGTATTTTGCAGGGTGAATCTCAGTCCTTGGACTGCCAGTTCTTTCTGCTACTGACATCAAGTTTTTGGGGACAGATAGCTGCAAAATGAATGGGAGACTGTTGCCTTCTGGTGGGGCCTAAACTCCCATCTCCCTGCCCTTTGCAGGAGACATGGGATGTGGCTACTGCCTCTAAGGTTCTGTGTCTGTCTTCATTGCTTATCATGTTTCTTTTCTTTGATTTCTTCGCAGAAGAGCATTTATCTCCCTGGGTGGATCTTGAGTCCAAGGATGGCTTTGAGTGTTATCTCAAGGTGTCCTGCCCAGAGAGCTATACAGATGTTGTGTTGTGTGTGTTTTCTGAAGGTGTCTTTCCTTCCATGTGCCATGGTTGTGAGCAGCCTAAGAGAATTTGAACTAGAACATGGAGAGATGCCTGGGAACTGTCATTTGTGTAACCTCTGATGGCTGTGCTTCTGTGGCTGATGGAATTAGAGATGCCTGATGTGTGTAGGGCAATGTGGACAGGGTGCTGGGGACTTAACACCATCAGTGCCAGTTCATCAGCTGCCTGTGTGGCTTCTGGGTGTGTGGCTGGTGCATGGTAGCTATGGTGGACTTTCCAAGGATGCTGTTGGCATGTTTACCATTTTTACCCCATCTTTGTATGTTCCAGTGCCCCCGCTTCCTAGGCTGAACACAACTTGCGATAATGTGGGCTGCTTTTTCCTGTCCTGGCATTATATGACTACAGGATTGTTGAGGGAGTAACCCTGGAGAGGGATAGATCTCTTTGGTCCTCAAGTTCTTCAATGCCTGTAAAGCTGAGCCAGAGAACAAATGAACAAGGGATGCTCAAGCTGCTCATACGATTCCAGGTACCACTTTGGTTCACCCTGCTCCTGTTTTCAATTCAACCTGCTTTTCCTTTTGCTTGAATGGGGAAAGTAAGCATTTCCATGTATATTTTTAAAGGTGCACATAATCTTTTGTAAAAATGTACATTTTCAAGTGCACATTTTTCAAAGGAAATACATTTTGAATGCTATTGTGCCCTCTGAAGCATGAGAACATTTTAAAAAAAAAAATTATTAATTGGTAAGATGTGTTCCCAGGGTTCATGGTTGTGAAATAGGCAAATTCTTGATCAGTTGTGAACTGAAATAAAATTCTCATTCATCTCTAAACCAGAGTCCCAGTCCAGCCTGTTTAGTAGCACATACATCCCAATTTTATGCTGAATCAGACAATGGCGCTTTAATAATCTGGTTTTGCAGAACCAGTAATTCTCTGATCTTTATTTTTCACATAGACAAGATCAGTTTAATATATATTTGGCCCACTTACAAATCTACATCATTTGGATTACAACATCAGCTTGTTCTTCCACAGTGCTATTTAACTTTATACAAGAACAAGATGGGTCTTTGCTTTGAAAAGTCATAAGGAGAACTTTTAAATACTACATATATTAGAATATTGATCTTACTGATACTCAGCGTGCATATCAGTTTCATTATCAGAAACAGTTTGAGTCTTGGTTATGTTCACAGGGAGTGTTATCCAGCTTCAATAATGTAGAATGCATTATCCTCCATATATTCCTAAAGCAGGATGTATGCTGTACATTTATATACAACAGTTGGTTCGAGCACAGACATTGCGGTGTCATGCTTTCATTCAAAACCACGATGCCACTTGCTATCCCATGACAATCACTTATGGCATCTAATATGTAATAATTTGCTTTGCAAATGCAAATAATTGTTGCAGACTGGCCTTCATGATGTAATGAAATGGCATATATTGCACACACTCTGTTAAAAAAATAAATAAGGGATTATCATAAATACACAGACCAGTATATGACATTGAAGAACAGGAAGCAAAATGGAAACAATGCCCTTGCATAAAGATCGATCCGCTTTGCTGCTGATGGGATGACAGGCTTAGGAGGAGGAGGTTTCTTATTGTTCTTTGCCTGAGATTTCCCAAGCCCGCTGTTGACTTCTATGGGCTTTCCATAACAGTCATAGTTGGACAGTTCAAAATCTCTCGGCAAGCTTCCAACAATGCTGAAATCGTTGGATCTCAGGTCAGATTTCGAAGTGCAAACCTTTTTGCATCGGGTCTCCCCTACCTGTTTTAAAATATATATATATATATATTTCAGAAGTCAGTTACTCTGATGTTTCAAGGGCAAGCATAGGCAGCTCTTCAGTGACATGGAAACCAATGATGTGCAGCCACAGATGCAGCCTAAGGCTCCAGACTAACTCCAGCTGGAGTTGAGTACTGGGACTCTGCAGTGAACCCAATTGTTGCCCTGCTCTGCCATTTACTGTGCAAATAAAGTAAACAATTAGCCACATTTTCAGACTTATGTTTTGATTGATATGTGTGACATTTGTGGATGTTAATTGCTTGTTGGGATAGCCTATTGTTGTTTTATTTTTGTTTTCATTGTAAACCACTATTGGAGAAATATGATAATGGTATATCAATTCCTGAAATAAGTAAGTAAAATCTGTTTGGTGCAATACAAATTCCATCTGTCATGAGCTTAGCACACTGAACCTGCCATGTTTGTCTGGCCCAAATCATTATCACAGACCATTTCACAGTTCTGAAAGTTTAAAGGCAATGAAAGCACATACAAATAAAAGTTCCACACACTGCAACAAGCACTCAACTGCAAATTGTGCTTAACCATCACCAGGGCCATCTTAACAGCATTACGGGCCCTGGGCAAAGCAGTGTCCTGGGGCCCCTACGACAACAACAACTCCTGTTAATTTTGGAAGTTTTCCAATTTTCCAAGGGTTAACATACACAGATCAGTATGGGGCCCACGGGCAAGTGCCCATCAGGCCCATGCGTTAAGACAGCCCTGATCATCACAAATGGAAGTAAGCAGAATGGAAGCAAGTAGTACACACAATATGGGTTGCAGCCAATATCCATGAAGACAGACTGCACAACTAAAGTAAGAAGGCATGAAGAAACACTCATATGAATGGGGGAAATGACCAGAAATGTAAATCTTTGCTGATGAGCAAGAAGTTAACTATTTCCCAGATGATGTTTGAAAATATACATAAGAAATATATGCATCTTTCTCTTTTACGAATGGCTGACTACAGATGACTTATCACTTTTGGACATCTATCAGTCATCAGCACATTAGATATGAGAGACAATAATGATAAATTGCACAATGAAAATTTGACTTTTCAAACCCTGGGAAATGTTCCAAAATCATACAGTCTCTCTCTGTGTTTGCAAATATGTGTGTGTGTAGAATCTCACTTTGGAAAAAAGTATTTTCTCCCTTTTGCATTGTGCCAGAATTACCCCAGGATGTTTTCCTTCCACAGAATACTTTACCAACATGTTTTAACATTTTGTAATTACCATCCCTAAGTTCTTCTGTGATTATTACAAAATAAATTTAAAATAGGATAACCAGTATTGTTGTAGCTTTATTGAAAGTTATGCTGTGGCCAGAGAACACTGTGTACAGTTCTGAATATCCCAAGTTAAAGGAAAATATAGAGCTAGAAAGAGGCAATGCAATGATAAAGGGGCCAGAGCATCTTTCCCGAAAGAAAAAGCTGAAATGTTTAGGCCCATTTAATATAGAAAACCGGAATAAGAAGGAATATTATAGATGCTTATAAAATCATATCAGGCAGAGAAAGTGGATAGAGGCCACATTTTATCCCTCTAGAACAATCTTCTCAAATGTGGATCCCTCATAATTGCTAACTACTGGCCATGTTGCCCGAGGAAGACCAAAACAACTAGCAGGAACAGGCTCTGGGGAAGGCTGGTCTAAAATATGGTGGGAATTGTAATTACTGTATGGAATTCACAGCTAGAAAAACAGTGGTGACAACCTGATGGCTCATCAAAGGTTATTAACCAGGAGCAGAAAAGGAACTTCCAGGTTGAGATGCAGTGCATTATTGAGGAGAGGGCATGGCTGATGAGTTCAAATCCTTGGAGGTATTCCAGAGGATATGGTTGACTGCAATAATCAGGTTGTTGAGCCATATTGGTTTTTGGTCTTCCCAGCAGTGATATTCTTATGATGTTGTCCTCGTAATTGACTTCAAAGAGTCTAACAGTAGAGTTACTGCCTTATGGCCAACTGAGAACCAAATTACACATTATGCTAATCATGTAACTGAGGCAGCGCTCGCTCTCTCTCTCTCTCTCTCTCTCTCTCTCTCTCTCTCTCTCTCTCTCTCTTGCAATGCTGGTGTAAGCAAGTGAAGCCCTAATCTCAAAGTAAAACCTCCCTCAGCTATTTACTTAATCCTGCACAATTAGTGTGATTTCTCCTGAAAACTTGGAAGAATCAGGGCTCTAGATCACAAGGAGGGCCTTCACAGGTATGAAGCAGCTTCCACACAATCAAGAGGCAGAGCAGCCATCCCCACTTCAGTGTCCTCTAGATGAGTTAGGACTACAACCCCCATAATTCCCAGCCAGCATGCTATCTGGGAATTATGGAAATTATACTCCTAGCATATCCAAAGGGCACCAGGTTGGGTATGAACGGTGTAAATGATGTAAAAGTTGTGACTAGGAGGGGTAGGGCAAGCATGAATGCCTGCAGAGGCCTTAGATACCTTGGATGCCTTTGGTCCTTAGATACACTCAGTTTCATTAAAAATCCATTTATGGGGTCATGCCATTAATGGACATATCAGGAGATAATTGTACGCATATTATCCCACAGTGATATTTCTCATATAGCTTCAGAACTGTTATGCCATTGTACCCATGGCTTTAAGAAAATCTAAAAACAAACCAAAAACAAAATACAAAATCCCTCGCCCCTGAAACAGCAGTAGTGTCATCATGTGTTCTACCTGGGGCTAGATGCATGAACCAGAAACATAATAAACTATTAAGCTGAGGGCACAAGACTGCAAAAGTTACATGTTTCTGACAAAGATGTTGCTTTCATTGCTTGCAGCAGTAGCATGTAGACATACTGTCAAACCAAATTGAACTTTTAAGCCTCTATCACTCGCTTCCACTCAGAAAGAAAGCCCTTGAACATGCTCTTTAGAATGGAAAGACTTTGTTACAGAGGCTGATGATTCCCCGAAGAGTCACTAGAGGGTGCAAGATGGTCATTCGTTTCTTTGTATGATCTAGTAGCAGGGGAGAAATGCAGCCATATTTTACTGCAAATTAAGGTGGTGGCTATTTTGCACATTTCCCAGGATGATCGGGTGGAATTCGGCAGTGGCAGCACTCTGTACTGAAATGATTTAAGAGAGAGGCCATAGCTCAGTGGAAGAGTGTGTGATTTGCATGCAGAAGGTCCCTGGTTCAGTCCCTGGTATCTCCAGGTAGGTTAAGAAATACTCCTGCCCATAACCCACTGTTGGCAATGCTGGACTAGATGGATCAAGGAAGCTTCCAATGTTCCTTTTCCAGATAACTGATCTAGTTTTGCATAATTGTATTAATGCTCAGCAATAGTTACATGATACTTTTTGAGTTTATGACTAGCAATAAGTGCTTTTTCTGATTCAACTACATAGAAATGCCTTGCCCAAAGGAAGATTTGCCTGCCACCTACATTGCTCTCTTTTCAATGCCAGGCAAACACCTTTCTTTTCTCCCAGGTATTTTAAGGAATGATCCTATGCATGCTCAGACAGAAAAGAATCATACAGCTCCCAGCATTTGTTGGTGGGGAATGATGGGAGGTGTGGGACTTATGTCTAAACAGGCACAGGATTGCACCTTTAGAAACCTTATTCTAAATTTTACAGCCATTATATCTATTCCTGTGCTATTTGCTGAATTGCATTGTATTTTATTCTTTTAAATATCTGTATAGTATTTTATATTTTTAACTGTTTCCAAGGCATTTTAGTATTTTATCTGCTGAAATCTGCCCAGGCAATGCTGGTTATTGGGTTATTGACCCACAACCAACCAACCAATGAACCAACCAACTTATTGTTTTCATTTCCAGTATAACCCCATTTTTCAACATAGCTCTCACGGCTGAACCTTGCTTTCTCTCTACTATTCATCTGCTGCCTGAATTCTTCCTCTGATCCAGCAGTCATGCAAGAGAGCTTGGCTTGGAAACAGGAAAAAGGAATTGCTGTGGGGAGAGGCACACCCATCCTCATTTTCACACTGAGCTCAGAGCAGCCTTGCCACTGGGTAACTTCCAGACATAGGATAACAGTCATGCTCCGTTTCCTAGTCCTGCACCTAGTTTCTACTATCCCAGTGGCCTGCCACAGTGAAAAGAAAGAGAATGGTAGCCATCAAATTTGAATAATTTGAGAGGTCCGCCTGGCGCTGTCGTTATTTGTTTTTCGGCTCCAGGCCAAGACCTTTTTATTTAAACAATATTTTAATAATTGTTAATATTATTTATTGGTTTTAAATTTTTTAGCCAGGGTGAATCCAGATTTTATACGTATCTTTTTGTATGATTGTTTATGTATTATGTTGGAAGCCGTCCCGAGGCTTATGCGAATGGGACGGCATGTAAAAACTCCAAATAAATAAATAAGAAGCAAAAGCAACATGTTGGGTGCCGAGCATTGCCATTTGTCTTCGGGAGTGGGGCATAGGTAGCAATAAATGAAGCACTGGGGTCTAGCTAAATAGAAGATCAGAATGAATTGCTCCAGGAATCTTCGCAGAAGTAAAGGCAGGCGTATAGTTAGGAAAGTTCAGAAATGCTGTTGCTTGAAAAGTTCTTAGCAAGCCATAGTGACAAGACCAGAATCTGGCTACAGACCAAAGATCCAGGCTTGACCTAGAAACATTTACAGCCAGGCTGACCAATAGACTGCTTGGGTGCAGAGAGCCCTGCTGGAACCTTGGGTAGTTAATTCAGCTGCTTCAGCCTTCTCTCTGCAGACTTATGTTCCAAGGGCTCATAGTAGCAAATGCAACACAGATCAAGAGGCAACCATGTTTCCAGTCTTTGCAGCACAGGATACAGGACAATACTGCAGACAAATTATCTAAGGCTGTGTCTCATCTACCATGAATCCACAGCACTTTCCATTCATCCACAGTGATTATTTATAGTTCAGACAACTGTGAAGTCTATTTAACGGGGAGAATTTACTTAATTTAATATTGTTATTAAAACATTATTAAAACCCTCATTCAACAACATGGGGCAAATTTACCCAGCATGTACTTTACATTGCAGAATTTACGCAGAAGCAGACCTACAATATAATATTTCTAGGAACTTGTCACTTCTATGCAATACTTACCATTTATTCAGTTTACATCCTACTTTTTGTCAATGATGGTGCTCACTGCTACCAAATTTCACATTTAATAGTTACAGTTTCCTTTCTGTACATAAAACTGGGGAAGTGGGGGGAAATCTACTCTAAACACCCAGCTGAACCTTGGTTGTGGAGCATTTTCTGTCCCAGATAATGCTGGGGTAAAAGAAATCCAGCAAACCCTGATCCAGGCAGGCAGACTGGAACGCTCCTACAGAGTTTTCTTTCTGAAAATCAAGGATAGCCTAAGACAAAAAATTGCCCAAGATATGAACTGATTTTTCCCCTTCTATTATGTCCATAGGGAATCGTGCTGCCACTATGAAAACAGGACTGTTCTGAATGATACCCATTACCTTTCTCCCTCCTCCTCTCACCTGCTTCAGAGAAAATTTTAGTAAGCAGTCCTAGCTTGGGTGTTCCTTATACAACAGCTCCAATAGTGCTCATTGGCATCCTGGTTTTTTAATATATGTATACGGATTTTTATATATCCATCGCAATCAAAACATATGAAATGTACCCAACTTTCTAGCAATTATACATAAATGTGATGGACACCAATGTGGTGATCCATTGACTAGGCATTTTGTGGTGGTGCTACAGAAGTTTCTTAAATCTGTCAAGTGACACATTGGTCTGCGAATGCTGGTGACCTTGTGCCTGCTTATTTCAAAAAACGCTTCACTGTAGCATCACAATGAAATCGCACTGCAGTATAAGCACCAGCCTTCCCCAGCTTGGTGCCCTCTCAATATCCTGAAGTATAACAGATATCCTAGGGGTAATGACAATTATAGTCCAAGACATCTGGGGGTACCAGGCTGGGGAAAGATGGTGTATAAAAACCTCAGTTTTGCATTTACCTAGCACTGCCCTCTATATTTCATATGCCAGATGAATGAAAACAGAGGAACTTGGCAAAAATGATAATGCAAGAAAGGCCCTTACCTGTAAGGTGCTAATGTGCACCGGGGTGCCTGTGCCATTCACAGTATTCTTTTTAGCTGCATTGCCACCTTTCCCTTCTGCTTGCTCTGCCTTAGCGATTTTTGCTTTTTCAGCCTCAATTCGCTTTGGATTGTTCAGCATGACTTGAACCACGGCGTACTCAACCAGTGAAGCAAACCCAAAGAGAAGGCATGCAATCAACCATACATCTAAGGCCTTCACATAAGACACTTTGGGGAGTTCAGCGGCAAGGGTTGTACATTCGGATGCCAAACTGAGCACGGAGAAGATACCTAAGTCATGGGAGGAAAAGAATACAGCAATATTCTAAGCAATTGAAATATTCCTGCATTGCTAACCTTTCCCCTCTTTACTGTCCCCAAGCATTAGTGTTGCCAGATCCTAAATAATGATATTTACATTCAAAAGGAACAGAACTTGCTGATGTAGCACATATGTTGGCAGGAAATGAATATGGATGTACATGGTGAATTATGGAATTGGTTACATACACAGATATATAATCATTCTGAGCACATGCATAACTGTTATTGATTGTATTGTTGCTGACAACTTTTATTTATCATGGCATATCTATGTCCTTTTCCTGATTGGCACTGGTTCTTACCATGAATTTTCAAACCATCAATCAAATGGAGTTTTAGATGTCACAAAAAGATGGAGAAATACGGCAACTGAGTGGCAGACAGCTGGCTATCTCTGCTTCTGATTCGCCTGCAGGGAACGCAGCAATCAAATTGGTTGTCTATATGTATACTAATTTATACATCACAAAACAGTCCAGTAGTTGTTCTTCTACCTTCAAAAATTAGCATTATGTTTTAACAATTGCCTATCCTTCACGGTAAAGTATAGCTCTTTCTATATAGAGCTAAAATCCATATTTTTAAAACACCTTACACTCCATAGCTATTCAAATCTAAAACTAAACTTTTAAAACCTAAAATCTATTGACAGAATAGAGGGCAGCTTGGCTTTCATTGCTTTATTCAGTCAAGCAGCAAAGGTCACTGTGACCTGCTACTGGTTTCCATTTGTCTTGGATCTAGGCTTGGAAGTTCAATCTTGGGGTGACAGGGAAAAAAATCTTATAATATTTCAAAGGAAATGCATCATAAGACAGAAGGGAGTGGGTGAGAAGCAGATTTTTTCAAGGAGTTGCTCTGCACTGAAAACCAAGGGTTCTGTGGCCTCAGAGAAAGCCAGAAAATGTGCTGTTACACTGTCAGAAGCTGTGGGTGTGAGAGGTTTAGAAAAGAAAGAGACAACAGATTGGAAAGAAAACCTACCTAGAACTCTAGCTGTGTCTACATGAAGAGAGAACTCAGCAGGGTACACTGGAACCCCATTGACTAGGGAATTATTGGAGTCTCTTTCAGCAGAGTCTGGACTGTGCATCGTCTTCCCCTTGGATGGCCACATTCCAGTCTTCATATTTCTATGGCTTAGAAACATTGACACTACTATCTCCAGAATGCAGAATCAGGCCTGATGGCACCACCTGGCATCCTCAAGCAGCTGCTGGGGTCCAAATGCTGTGACAGTTTCCACTGTGAATGGAAGTTCCCTAAGAAAAGTCCTGAGGTCTGGCTGGTTGACTACTGGCTGGTCTTCTGCATAATGGATGCCTACTATTTACATTAGTCTGTAGCACCAACAGGGTAGGCAACAGGCCTATTTTTGCAGACATCTCCGTATTGGTACTATTTTCCTACTACCATCAGGATGTAGGATGTACTTCACTACAGTAGTCTGCAGGGGTACCCCAGAAGGCCCACTCACACCTGGAGCTAGGTAGTCCTTGAGCACCTGCCTGGGCAACTTGCCTAGGGTCCACTCAAGTGCTAGTCCTGTCCTCTCCTTGATTGGGTTCACACATCATGACAAGCATGCAGTTTCCATAGTGTGTGGTTTTTTTGCCTGGATGTGCTTGACAGGTGATCCAGTGGCTACTATGCTAGCATGGTTTCTACCATCCTCGCTCAGTCCTTCTGCTGTTGGCCCATATGACATCAGTCACCATTCCTGAAATTCAATCCCATGTTGCATGGCCAGAGTAGCTCCTGCAGCTCTCACTCTTTCAGGGAACTCTGTGGTAGCTGCATACCGCAACAATGGAAACCACAATGCCAGGTTTGGACAACTGGAAAAATCATGGCAAAGTGTGGAAACCGTATAACAGACACTGTTTTTTTTATCATGGTTTGTAAAAAACAAATGTTCCATTCTTAAATATCACAACAGGGTTCATACAAAACAACAGACTATCCTGCACAAGAAAGTACCTTGTCATGTCATGCAAACCTGCCCACTGTATAAAAGGGACAATGAAAATGGAAAGAAGAGTCCTTCCCCACTCTTGCAAACAGCTAGAAATTTAAATCTGAATCACAGCATGTTATCATCTTACCATCCCATACTGACAGATGTTGGAAAAGCTACAAATAGGTAATGCTTTAAATATCAAGAATGTCAAGAATCTGGCATTCCACCCCCAACACCAAACTGGATATCCCTTGCAAATTCTACTCACAGTTGCATTCATACAGGTCAATGGTGATACAGTGAGCAGATACAGGAACAACCTGGTTATAGGCTACAGATCTTGTCTCTTAAAATGTGAAGACATGTATGGGACTGAAAGAGAGAAGATTGGGATGAGAGTGAAAAGCATGCTATGAGAGTGCAGTTGCCTTCAGTATCCAGTGAAATGTCCTGCTACTGAAGCAACTTCAAAATGGACAAATGGCATTCGGTGGTTTTGACAGGAGGTGAAAACATAGGTTACCCAGAGGCACTCTTGCAGCACTTGCATCAGGATTGATCCAAAATGACAACCACGAAAGTACAACAATAAGCAATGTTGGGGCATAAACACCCATCATGTAAAAGCCAACTTGTCTTCTTAAAGTGAAGATCACTTCTACACATGTGTAATAACCTTTGGAGAAATATAAATGTAAATGTAAATACTCATGTTTCTATAGGCCTCTGGTCTCAGATATAAACATTTTATGTGCCTTCAGTGGAAGCTGGTAGCTCCAATGTCAGTGGAGTGGTGTACTTAACTACTTTGACTTTCAGTTTAAACTTTCAGGGACTATCCATGATGCAAATCATATCCCCCCAAACAGGTTCAGAACCATGGCTAGATACTTCAAAGTTCGGAGTAAAGCTCAGGACAGATACACAGTCCTGCTGAGATTGGAGCCATCATCTACTGTTGGAAGCAATCTTATATATACTTTCTCACTGATTTCAGTGGAGCTTACTACTGAATAGACATGTACAAGACTCCATTGTTAATGTCACCAATAAAATTATTGGTTCTTTTTTATTTATTTACTGTATTTTAAATTACCTAATGAGTGAAGTTATCCAATATATAAAAATATGAGGTTAAAATATTGAAACCAACCAACCAACAAAATAAAAACAAGACAGAATTAAAACCAGCAGCAAAAAAAACTTTTAAAAACCCCAAACCATAACAACATCATGAAACTTCATGAAAAAGAGCAGCAGAATAGGCTATTAAAGCAGTTCTTACAGTGCCTGGGTGAATAGAAAGGTCCTGACCTGGTGTTAGAAAGGCAATATAATATAGATAGCAGGCAAACCTATCTGGGAAGGATACCAGGTTCCCAGCACTGAAAAAGCCCTTTCTTAGTAGCCACTGATCCTGGAAGTAGTGTATAGCCATCAGGACTGGTAGCCATTGATAGCCTTATCCTCCAGGAATTTCCCTGATCATATTTAAAGCTACCTTTCTGGAGTTCATCTCAACCCCTTTGGGTTTTAACCACCTAAATAATGTGGTGTCATCAGTAAAACTGGTAACTTACCACTAGTTTCAAATCATTTCTTAATAAATTAAAAAGTATAGGTCCCAAAACATATCCTATGGAACCCTACTGTTTAAACTCCTCCACTGGAATAGCATACAATGCATTTCTACTCTCTGTTTCCTGTTCTTTAACCAGTTACTGATCCATAGAATGAACTCTCCTCTTAATCCATAACTGCTAAGTTTTCTTAGGAGCCTTTGGTAATGGACTTTATCAGTACACCTTTGGGAAGTCCAAGTAAACAATGTCTAAAGAATCATCCCACCCTCGTGTTTTTTGACACTCTCAAGAACAGTGAAATGTTAGTGAGACAGAGCTTACTTTTATCAAAGCCATGTTGATTCTTTTTCAGCAGGGCTTGTTTTTCTATGAGCTTATTAATTTTATCCTTTATATTTATTTTCCTTTTGTGCATTAAATTGGTCAGTCTCAAGTTCTTGACAATTTTCCACTTAAATATATATTAAATCTATTAGTTCTGTGGTCACTGTTACCAATTGGGTCAACAAAATTCACATCTCATACTAGGTTCTGGTTGCCTGTGTTTAGGATTAATTCCATGATTGTCTCCCCTCTGGTTAGTTCCATGACCAATTGTTCTAGGGCACAGTTGTTGAGGACACTGAGAAAATTAACTTCTTTGTTGTGACTGGACCATACGTTTATCTAGTCAATATAAAGATAACTTCAGTTACCCATTATTATACAAAAGTTGTCATCTGGAGGCCCCTTGATTTCATTTTTCAGGGAAGTGTCACCTGGAGCATTTTGGTCTGGAGAACAATAGCAGGTTCCTAGTACTAAAGCAGTTCTGGAGTCTGGTATTGTCACCCATGGTGCTTCTTTGGATGAGCCTACCTTTTCAGTTTCCTAGTCTTATTGACACTATGTCTTCTCTGCCATACAGAACAATATCTTCTCCAGTACTTGCTTCCCTGTCCTTCCTATAAAGCTTACATCCAGAGATTACCATATGTCACTCATTTTATCTGTTCTACCAGGTTTCTATAGTTCTCACTATACGTAGGTTTTTCTTTAAAACTATTTTGGTGGGGGAGGTCACAATTTCTCCACTCCCACTATGGTGGCAATAACAGCATATTAATTTCCACATGTGGATTACCTTTAATTGGGTCCTGGCCAGTATATATATTAAAGTAACACAAATAAAGATTGCACTATAACTAACATGGCAATCTTGTACTTCCTTATTTCTGCTTAACTGAAATCTATGTGACAAAATATAACAGTGGATTTTCAAGTTAGTATGAATATGTAGCTATCATATAAAAGGACAACTACTCTGTTCTCCAGGGTGCAACTCCACATTTTTAGTCACAAATGGGTGCAATTACTTAATGCATAGTTTTAATGCATAAAATTGCTGATAGGGAGCATCTAATTGCTCTCTAACCACCACCTGACATAACAAACTTAACTACAAACCTTTACTATAAAGTATAAAATTGGTATCTAAATATTTAAATTTAACATAAAGAAAAGGTCCAGTACAAATTATAATTTGCATTGTTCATGTACTGGAGACAATCACGTTCTGGTTATCCGATCTTCTCTTCTTTCACAGACTGGATCCAGTGGAATGCTCTCAATGCCATTTATAACTGGATTCCATAGACTGTTAAATTCTTATTTCACTTTCAATGCTATATATGACTTTTATGTTTTCAGCTGTTTGTATTAGGTCAGTGGGTCACTTCTACTCTGATCAAAAGCCCAATATTACCTTTCAGATAGAAATAATAGCATTCCTAGGCACCACTGTGGATAATTTTGCTGTGAACTGCCCAGAGAGCTTTGGTTATTGGAATGTATAGGAATGAAATAGAATAAACAAATGATATTAATTTTACATTAAGGCCACCTAGTGATTTCATTATAATAATCATAATACTGTCTCATAAACAAGAAAAAAAACACAAAGCCAACCATTAAAAAAAGCAAAAGTCATTCTCAAACTTCCTTCTTCAGTCATCCTCAAAATCCAGCAAGGTACGACAAAAAGAAAAATGCTTTACATGAAACTTCCTAAAGAATCAGATTTTATTAAAGAAATGGAATGCTCTTGATCTTTGATTACATAGGAAACACAGTGAGATAGCAAAATAAAATATCATTCTGCTTTTTAACATTTTTATTTCATTGGCCCTACAATCTGCAAAATATTGGATATTCTCCCATAAAAGTACAGCAAGTTGTAAATTCTTTTCATCTGGCTTATATGGATAACTAGAACTGGAATAATTGCTTAATTATAAATCTTAGCAATTATCTAAGTAATTAACTGATGACAGGCAATAATAAACCTCCAATAAGCATGACTTGCTGATCTGTCTCTTCCACTGATTTCTGTGATAGAAATACAAAAATGACCATCCATAAGACAACTGAGACCTCAATCTACATTCTAAAATGATAGCTAATTAGAAATACTATGCATCTTCCAATATTAATACAGTTATGAAACTTCAGGAACTGCAAAAATATGGAACCAAAGGCTTTTCAGTTCATACTGATACCTCAGTTTTCAGTACTAATCTTTTCTATCAGTTTGTGATTAAACTATAAATGATACTGCAAAACATTTTTTGATCAAACATCTCTCTGCAAAACAGAAAGGTCAAAATTTAACAAATGGCTACCAAACATACACTATAGGGGAAGGAAGCCTGAGTATGTTACTGAATCCATAAATTCATAAATGATAATACATACCAGTCCCTTTGTAGTATTTGGTACAATTGCCATATTCAATATCTTCTTTCTTAATGTCAAATTGAGGCAACGCAATTTTTTCTAGTTGAACAGGATCACCAGATTGCCAAATAAATCGTAAATCATCAGTAGTGTAGCCAACTATATGTTAAAGGGGAAAAGGGGTAAAGAGATAGGAATAACAAATACAATAATCTAATACGGAAAAAACAATAATATTTTCTCCTTACACTCCTGCCTTAGAAAATAATAGTTATTCATGAATGCTTATTTCATTTTTTCATTTTGAAATGAAGCATCCATACTGATTTCCATATCATTTCCAGACATAATTCAAAGTATTTGTTTTAACTATAAAGCCCTACATTAATCCTATGTAGATCAGATTTACTGAAATGAATGAGACTCATTAAATTAAATTGGGTACTCCCATAGGAAGCAAGCTATAGTATCTGAAGGATCACCTATTCTGTTAGGAACCTGATGATTTGTTAAGTCCATTCAGTGAAATATTGCTCTAGGTGCCTCCTTCAGAGGTTAGATGCCTCTTTACCTGTAAGAGGCACATCCTGACTGTGGAATATTCTCCTCAAGGCTATTTGCCAGGTCCTTCCATTGATTTATTTCAGATACCAGCAAAAGCTATTTTATTTACCAAGAACTTTGGCAGGTTGCAATCACGTTTATAGTTTGTTCTAAATTGCTGCTTTTGATTTTTATACTGTGGAATGTTTACTATTCTAATTAGTTTTACTATTTGCTTAAAGCTTTTCTATATGGTGCCTTCTACATGTCTTTAAATGAAATGGCTGAATATACATTTTTAAAGTAAATAATAAATCAGTCAGTGTCAGTAAAAAGAGATCGAGTGAAACTAACATTTACAGTGCAATCCTGTAGTATTTTCACTTAGTCTTAAGTCTTACGGAGATAAATGTGGTTTACTTCCAGGTAATGAATGTGGGGCTCCAGCTGAGGTCAGGTATCCTCCTAGTGGGAATTGTTTTCACTGACAAAAAATGGATAATTTTTTTAGCCCGGATATTTCCATGACCATTAGCATTGCTGGCTCTCTGCAGTTATTTTAATATGGTATTTTATTACTTAATTATTATTTTACTGGTTAGTCTTGTGGCACTTTTATCATGTTTTTGTCTTTTGAAGTATTTTGGGATTTCTTTAGAAAAGAGAAGCAGTATGTTTAATATGCCTCATTGGTTTCTTACATCTATAATCTACCCAGTAATTAATGTTCTCTGGATAGATTACAAACATTTTTCAGATTAAAATAAATATAAAATTGTCCAGGCCCTGTGCTGACAAAGGGTGGAAGAGAGTATCAGAAAGTCCCCAATGGGACAATGTAGATGTTATGTTTTGTTCGTTTTGCTTTTTGTAATCCTTGCACAGGGTAATGGTGACAAATTCATGAGGGAAAGAGTTGGGGGAAGGTGTAAGCCTCTCTCCTCATGCATAGTAATCCCAATCTGAATCAATGCCCTTCCTTGTCTGTAAGTAAATTAAAAATTCAGTTTTATTCTTAAAATAACAGTGCAACAATTAAGGGTTTTAATGGAAAATTCTAAATGAAAGAGATGAATCAAAATGATTTTATTAAGAAATGTTAGAAGGCCACATTAAGCAGTATTAAGAATTTGCCAATTCTTGTTGAGCTTTTAGGCAAAAGTAACAATTATTTTAATGCATTTCCGATGTACGTACAGCTCTCCAACTGCATCTTACAGCGTTGTGTGTCCATAGGAAACAAAGTTAAGTCCAACGGGCAAGAGAGAGTAACAGATAATCTGAAAATATAAAACAAATGTTTGCAAGCAATTCAAAATACTCACCAAGGTACAAAAGGAGTTTTGTTTTGTGCCTTCATGTTACTTAATAAAGTAGATTAGTATAATAAATCATATCTGTCATGAGATGGGTTTTCCCCCTTCACACTTCCAAACACAGACCTTTCTTTGGCAAAAGTGCTATGCTCCAATGCACTTCCAGTAAGCACAACCAACATATAATGAGTAACTGAGCAGGCACAGAGTGTTCATTGAACCCAGTCCAACAACTACTTGAAAACAGTCTCATTTTGTGTAGCTGGGGGCCCTCCCTATGGGATGTGGAAGGAGGAAGGCAAGCCTCTTCTCTGTTTGTTGCCCATCTAGATGGTTGACCCATCTCTCCTGACACTGTGTCATGGGGTCAAGACTCAGCTAGCTGCAGGAGGTCTTCTCTCATGCCCCTCCCTGCAGCTGTAAATCTTGACTATTCTCAGTGCCCACATGAACACCTGGAGAGGTTGCCCTTGAGCTATGCCCCTCTGCTTCTTCTGTTTCAACATCTGAGAATTCTGTTTTTCAGGACCCCTCATCATGTGACAAGTTCATATTTGTCTGGCCTTGGACACATGCAAAAACTAACTGTCCATTTCATTCTCAGAAAGTATCCTATAAAGATTAGTTTTACAGTGGTTTTTCCCCTACTGGAATTGGATTGAAATATGAGAACACAGAGATGCAGAATATTCTACCAAGGTGGTTCTTCATCATCATCATCATTGTTATCATCATCAGAGGGATGGAGAATGTATCGGAGTGCAAGCATGGCTTGTCTTCCAATCTGCAGTGACAATTTGTTTCTTAGATACTTTTTCTTCTGGATCCAGATGACCATGGAAAGTAGTGGCAAAGATCACCATGTCATTGCAACATTAGCTTTTATTTCCTCTTCATCCATTAACCTTTTAAGCAAAGGCACAGGTTCCCCAGATTGCCATTCTTCCCTCCCTTACCCACAATGAAACAAGAATAAAGAAAACTATCCCAAATAGCTGCATAATATGTAATTACTGTGACCATAAGTGTTGTTTGGCCTCTACATACAAGAAAATAAATGAGATGGTTTGCTAGGAAGGAAGAGAAAGTTATCACTGGATGATAACTGGGAAGACCCAGTGTCATTTGCAAAGGGAGATGCAAGCTGGTAGTGAAGGCTTGATATGAATGGAATTGGAAGCCTGTTCTCTGAGCCTGACCCCTCTGCTCCTAAAAAGTCAGCATATCTATATGACTCTGGCTCCAACTATCAACATTCTTCATTGGCTTCTGTCTCACCCAAAAAGAACATATAACCCCTCTCTTCCTGCCTTCATGACTTCACTGGCAGCCACAGGATCTGTTATTTAACATAACATGGAAATTCTTTTTAGGCTGCAGTTGTCCCACAAACATATCCAAGATATAAGAGAAATCATGATTTGTGGGTTTCTTGGGTATTCTAGCTGAATTGGATGAGTCCGCATGCGTTTATGCATTTGTTTTGTTGCCTGTATTTTTTACTTCACTTCAAAATAAAATAAACTCAAGGCTAGGAGTGGGGAAAGACATAAAAGTCTGATTGAAGGCTCCCAGAGGGCATCATATGTGATTCACACAAATAAATAAATACATTTACACATTTACTCAAATAAATCAAATTATAGAAATAAATGATGTGGTTCTTTCCATACTAATGACTTCTGAAACCTAATGGTTCCTTTTCTCAGAAAGTTACAGATTGAAGCTAGTAATACCATGTGAAATGAAAACCAACTCAATGCCATCAAGGAAGCAGTTGAATCTTCTGACTACAGCTTCCCCTTCCTTCACTACTACTGAACTTCCCAATAGTATCTTCCCATTTGTAATGCTTTGGAAGCACATTTTATGATAAGAAAAGTACCCAGTATGTACCAAGTAGAGATTGTACGCACTCAAAATTAATAATAAATATTTACAGTTGAAAGCAGAAAGAAAAAAATACCTCATGCTAACCAGGACATCTCCATCACGGAATATAAACAGAAGAATATTTTCTTGAGTGACATCATGGAAGTTGGCATTCTTTTCATTTGCAAAGAATAAATCTGGCTTCCACAGACACTTAAACATTGTGGGATCTACCGTTAATGATTCAGACCCTTTCCAGTCAGTGGGCAGTTTAAGTCGAGGGTCATTCCACTTTTGTCTTAGGAAGATGTTAACTCTATAATCCTGTTTTAAACAAAACAGCAATATGCAAATCCGAAATTAAGAAAAATGTATAGAAAGTTATTATCTGTCTTCTGCTTCACTAAATGACATACATACAATAATTACTAAATGTGAAAGAATCACTAAAGCAAAATCAGTCTGTTTCTGATGATATTTTTAAATGATGTGTCCTAACCATTAATACACTGATACTGTTAGGAGCAGATATGGCAGTTGCTTGCAAAGAGCCTGATGGTGTCTGCCTTCTGAGTGATGTTGCTAGAGCACCATTCCAGAAGTGGGTAGCAGCTTTTTGAGGAAGTAAATTGAGCTCACTGCTGAGCTGGGAGAAAGGAAAACTCTGTGAATGGCAGCTGGGAGGGCCCAAGAACAGGCATGCCAACAGTGGCAGTAGGAGTAACAGGGGACAGGTGGGGAATGCACACCAGCATTGCCTGTTGAAGACTGGCTGATGGGGGCCAGAGAAGGAAGGGAGCTTCTCTGCTGAAGAGCTTCTCTCACTAGCAGGGAGACTGATCCCGCCTGGAACCCAGTGATAACTGGAACAGGAGACCCTTTGGGTGGCATTTCTCCTGATAGTTGAACAGCTACTTGATATGTTTCAGGAATGGAAGGGCAGGATCCTTGGATCCAATGCTCTCAAGTTTTCTTGATCTTCTGACATTTGATGAAGTGTAGTTATTTTGTCCCTCTCCTCAAAACCAATGGGAGGAAAATTAAAAAAAAGGAAAGAACAAGAGAAATTAAAGCAAATAACTGTCCATCACCCACCTCTCTGGTTAGAAATGCCAATCTGTCGGAAGTGGTAGATTTGTTGTTGTTGTTGTTAGTCGCAAAGTCGTGTCTGACCCATCGCGACCCCATGGACAACATTCCTCCAGGCCTTCCTGTCCTCCACCATCCCCCGGAGTCCACTTAAGCTCACACCAACTGCTTCAGTGACTCCATCTAGCCACCTCATTCTCTTCCGTCCCCTCCTTCTTTTGCCCTCAATTGTTCCCAGCATTAGAGTCTTCTCCAGGGAGTCCTTCCTTCTCATTAAGGTGGCCAAAGTATTTGAGATTATCTGCTACTTAACTAGACACTGCACACTACTTAGGATTGCTATGTTGATCTTCTTTGCAAAGTAATACAATTTTATTCTTTATAGTCAAAAAATCAAGCCTTTATAGAAATGAATACAGCCTAAAAATCTCTCTCTCTCTTGTTCTGCCACCTGTTAAAGGCCATTTCATTTAGATAGGCTTTTCATAACGCTAAAATTTTAAACTAACTCTGATGTTAACTGGGATGCCGTTTTGTTTCTTTCATGATTTAGTTGTTTCTCAATGTCTAAATTGTTTGTACTATGATTGTCCCAGGGCTCTACATTATGCATACTTAGACAGAAAGAAGTTCTATAGCAACCAGGATTCCAGGATGACAAGTATATTTTCCAGTGAAAATATATACAGGAATGTGCCCTTCCTGTATTTAACTTCAATATCAATATTTTTGTCCATTTTGTATGTTATTAAATGAAAGATGGGATATAAATTATCCAAATAAATAAAATAGTCAAGAAAAAAATCCATCTTACCATAGTTGTCTCTTGAATCGATCCAAAACTGTTAATGAAAATATTAACTGCTACATCAACTGGAATTCCTAAAATATCCATTAAAGAAACTCAGTGTCAAACTTGCCAGGAAATCTCATTTCCATTTTCTTCTTCACATTATAAAATATTTATTAAAATATTTGTAATGAATTGATACAATTTTATTTTTGGACTAGGAAGGCATAATGAGTAGGAAGGCAAAGAACTGGAAGCCATTTTAGAGCAATATTCCGAGTGATGATTGAATAGCAAATAGGGTTGTAGAAGAAATAGCAATGGTCAAATAAACTCATTTTAAAATGAAATTTTGTGTTTGTGGCGGGAAGGGCTGGGGGGAGAGTGCACAGGGAGCAAGGATGGACCATCGCTCAGCATAATAGATCACATGTTTTGCATGCAAAAAGTCCCAAGTTCAATCACTGGAATCTCCAAGTAAGGCTGGAAAAACTTCCTGAAGCCCTGCTGAGTCACTGCAAGTCAATGTTAACAGTGCTGAGCCAGATGGGCCCATGGTCCAACTAAATATGTTCAAGTATGTTCTGATTCTGCTTCCCATGCTTCCTGCAAGGGAAAGTGCCCAGAGCGAGTCAAAATGCAGGTCCATGTCTTTTTTTCATCAGAGAATATGATAGCAGCCTTGGGAAAGCAGTCATTTTGGTCAGGAATATAGGATAGGAAAAAGCTTTACATTTTCCTCTATCAAACCCCTCTGCCATTCAGAACTGGAACCATCCCCCAAGGTGCTTTTTTAAGCAATTAGCAATTGTTGGTACAAATATATCAACCTCTAAATAACTTCAAAATTTTTAATTATACATTAACCAACCTTTGAAATTTGGTCTTATTCTGGGATCGTAGCTAACCAGAAGTCTATTTAAGATGTTGCTGGTGGAATTAACAGGTACCCTTGCAAGATCTTCAGCAGATTGCTGTCTGTTAAAAATAAGTGACATTGGTTAATGTTTGGCAGAAGTAAGAAATGGATCTAGTACATTAATCCACACCTTTAAAAATGAAGAAAATGTACTGTTGATGCTTTTGTGACTTATTAAAGCAGGACACTTCTTGTGAAATGCCTGAAACTTACATGTAAAACTTAAAGGAAAGGGAAAGAAATGTTCTCAAAAATCTTCATTTTACTTACAAACAGAAGCAAGCAAATCCTGTCTGAATACAAATCTCACATGTTCCTTAATCTTCTTTTAAATCAGGCTAAGCTGGGCTAGGCTTAGCAGTCTTAATTCTCTGCTTTCAGAATGGGCATTTTAAAAGTATACCTCTCTTTTTCGTCTTCTGTCTTCGGAACAAAAGTGTTCAGAAACAATAGTATGTAGATACATCATTGACAAGGCCAGATGTATATAACACTGTGAACGATATGCTGACTGTCTTCATTAACTGACAACATTGCATTGCTGAATGCAAAATGATTCACTGAGAAACCTGTTTAAAGAACTGGGCATGGTCTTTTCCAGGGGGACAGGACATATCCTACAGAAAAGGAAAATCCTTATGACAGAGGCATATTATGTAATGCAGTGGCCTTTGGGTATGGAGGGCTGCAGACATTACCTGACCACCAAACCATAATACAGTGGCTTCAAAAGGAGCTGAAATGAGCTTGGTCCTGCTAGAGCACCCTGGCCATCTGTGAAGGCTCACTGCAATGGCAGCCTCTGGATGTATTTGCAGAGTCAAGAAAGTCCTTCCTATCCACAATGTGGTATTATTAGCTTCCAAAAGCCAGTTGCAAATCTTGGCCAACCCAGTTACCTGGTTACAAATATACGCATACATATACACATGAATGAATGCACCTAATTGTGACTTTAAGTCTTCGTCACCGAAAACCTTTCAGTGCTGAGGTCCGAATTAGTCCCAACGTACAATGCACCTTTCAAAACTGTGCCCCATTGACTGAAGCACTAGCTGCACTCATAATTGAAAAACAACTCATTCAAAACCAAATATCGTTATTATATTTATATCCTACCTTTTTTCTTTCAGAGAACTCAGAGCAACTTATATAACCTCCCTCCTCCTCTCTCAGTCTTATCCTCACAGCAACAACAGGCTTAGAGTCTGTGATTGGCTCAGAATCACTCAGTGAGCCTTGTGGCCAAGTGGGCACTAGAAACTGGATTAAAAACCTGCACCCAGTCCAGCGTTCTAACCACTACACTGCACTGGCTCTCCAATGCCAGGTGGATGCATCTGATAGGATGTGGACTAGACAGGGGAGACAAGGTTGGCCCATTTGTTTCAGCACAGTGAGTGCTGCAGCAGAAATGCTTTTTTGCAATAGACTGAAGTATCAGACAATCAGTAATTTGTCATCAAATGAAAGCAGCCAGCTTTCAGTATCTTGACGATGCCCTGAATAAAATATGGTGGTCAACACATAAAGACCTCCAAGCCTAAGTTAAATGTCAGCTAAATTAACAGATGTACCAGTAAACATACAGAATAAGTATTGCAGATATACCAATAAAATGCAGACCAGCTATCACAGGGATATAATGCAGACTGGATAATTTAATGGTTTTCCTTTCTGAAAGAGTTAAGTAACCCTCACTTTTCTAAACAATAATGAGACTGGAAAGCTTGGAGGCCTGACACAAGAACTTTGGAGCAGAAGCTTTCACTTGGGCCATGCTTGCTCACAGATTGCTACCGTAAAGCACTGATAGCAAGAAGAGAAGGCTCAGAAAACAATGAGTCCATGGAGAAAGGTGTCGCTCACAGAAAGAGTCTCCTAGACAGTATTGGTAACTGCTAGTCTTTCTCATGAGAACAAAACAGTGTTAGAAATTTAACAGTAAGGCAGCAATAAGTTTAGCATGTTACATAAAACTAAAACCAGCAAAGACAAAGCATTATAATAATGAAGCCTACAGGGGAAACTGTCTATAAAACAAGGTCCTCTGAAAATAATTGGAAATAGTAAATTCAACTGAGCTTGGCTATTATTGTCACAGAAGAGAGCCGTTATTTCTCTCCAAATTCGGAATACCTTGGTATGTGTTCTGAGCCACTAAAAGATGTGTAGATTGCCATCCACTTAGACTCACCCCAAATTCCTCCCCATCTGCATTAATTCAACAGGAACACTCAAAGTTGCTTTATCAAAGTGTTGATAAAGTACCTTGCTCTGTGCGCAGCAAGAAGAAGCGAGGACCATCCCTGACAAGTATCATGTTGAAAGAGAATGCAGAATAGGTTTGGCAAAGGTGAGGCTTTAGGACAGGGGTCTCAAACTCGCGGCCCGCGGGCCAATTGCCGGGACGGGCAGGGCATGGGGGAGGGGCCCTGCGGCCTTCAAAGCGCCGGCGGCACCCAGGCTGGCCTCCGGGAGTGACACGGGATGAGCGGCCCACCACCACCGCTTGATGCGGCCCAGCCTCACCCAGACTCTACTTCCAGCCGCCCCCAGGTAAGTTGAGTTTGAGACCCCTGCTCTAGGACATTGATGGTGAACCTTTTAGAGACCAAGTGCCCAAACTGCAACCCAAAGCCCACTTATTTATTGCAAACTGCCAGCACTACAATAAAACCCAAAAACTAAGGTTTTAGTTCAGGGAAAAAACCTCACAGCCAGTCCAAGCAAATAATATCTCCTTGGCAGTGCACTGACCAGGCATACAAAAGCTCAGACGAGTGGCACCTAATGAGTCGCAACTCATTAGGGTGATTTTGGAGGGATTGGAGCTGGGGGACAGGGGTCAGAATCCTTTTTTATCTTGTAGTTTAATCTGAGGCAGAGGAGAATCCAAGGGGCTTGCTTGTCAATCCTGCCTGTCTTTTGATGTAGTCAAATTCAGGGTTTAGTGGTTGGCATGTCTAACATTGCTTAGATTGGGATGGTGGGTAAGGTGCAGGACTGAGGACCTAAGCTCATTGGGCGAGTTACTGTCAGCCTAACTTGCCTTAAAGGGTTCTTGTTAAGACAAAATGGAACTATTTAAGTCACCTTGGGTTCCTCCCAAGAGGAAAAGGTGGGATATACATGTAACAATAATGATAACAATAAACTGATAATTTATTGTCCTTCTATTGTTGTATGCCACCTTGGTGACATTTCTGGAAAGATGGATATTAATATGATAAATAAATTAAAAACTATGCACAAGTTTGGGAATAGTTTTGCTGACATCCCTAGAAATACTTGTTGCATAGCAGTACATATTTAAAGAGTCAGTATTATGCTAATAGTTCAAGCAATGCATGTCCAAAAAGGATACAGATAAATGGACATAACCAGAATACTGTCATAATGGTAATGATATTCTATGAGTGCTTATTCATACAAAAGAATAAAATGGAACTGCTGGGGATTAAAAAATTTTGGAAGCCATGAGGCTAGATCCACACACCCTGCAAACTAGTCGGTAGTGCACAGTGAAGAGAGACTTAAAAGTCTTCTGGTCTTCCAGCCAGTAGGAACAATAGTTCTAGCTCACATGGGGGAATTATGTTAGAGGATGCAGTTCCAAAACCTGACACCAGCTTTTGACATTCTGAGACCTAACACTGTTAAGCCCAGGTCAAATTTCACCTGGAACTGTTACCTGGCTTTGTTCTTACCTCTTCAAGTAAATAGCCCTAAGGAAGGCCATAGACTTCCCTTGGCTGGTCTTTACTGCTTACTGGCCTTTAGCTTGGATTTATGCTAGATTCATATAAATTTCTGAACAACAGAAGTGTAGGTTTAGGAACAAGTGAAAGAGGGGTTTAAAAAACAAGACATACTGCATATTTTGGAAGGATGATTCCTGCTACCACAATTCACAAATGTTTTGAAAAGGTCCCAGCTCCCTCACATCAGACTCCTGTACATACATGTATACAAAAAAGTGGGGGCATACTCAAAGTTGTAGGCCTCTTCTTCTGTCAACACAACCATTGTGTTGTGCCTTTTTTTGGATAACTCCGATTAAGCCATAATGCACACTGATCTTGGATATGTCTTGATGTTTAACTGGTACAGCCTTCAGCAGATAACTGGGAGATTTTGGTAACAGTTAAATGTTGCATTCTTTCCTTCTCCAGTGAGTCTTGTCTTCTTATTGAGATGTCATAAATACAGTCGTTTCAGTTTTGTCATTTTTGGTTTGGGATATGTTATAGCTTGATTTGACCTGGGACTCACCTGTGCATCCTTCTGTCAGTACAGGCTATTTGCAAAGTTCTTCTCCAGCACCATGTTTCAAATGCATCAGGTCTCTTCCTGTCAACATTCTTTGCTGTCCTGCTTTCATATGCAAACTTACTGATCAGGAATGCTATAGTGTGCATGAACTTGCCTTTCGGTTCCAGTGAAACATTTTTGCACTTGATGAAGTTTTCTACTTCTTTCACTGGTGCCTTTCCATGTCTCCATCTTCTTCTAATGTTTTGGTTGCAGTCTCCTTCTGAATTGATAATTGAGCCACCAGATGTAAAATCTTTCACAATTTCAATTTCTTTATTGTCAACATGAACATTGATTGATTATTCTGCAGTCATATTTTTTGGTTTTGTTTTCTTAAGGTTCATTGTTTTTCACTTTTTTCTTTCAATTTCATCAGGAGTCATTTCAGTCCAGTGCTGCTTTTTGCCAGTAATATGGCATCAATCTACATATCTTAAATTATCAGTGTATCTTCTGCCAATTTTCAGTCCTCCTTCATCTGATCATAATCTAGCTTTCCTTACAATATATTCTGAACATGGACTGAACAAAGAGGTATAAAATACACCCTTGACTGATACTTTTGCCTATTGGAAACCATTCTTTTTCTCCATTATTATATCTTGACAGTAGTTTTTTCTGCAACAGAACTTATGCATAAGCATGATTCAATGCCAAAGCCCACCGATTTCTTTCAGACACATCCATGGCTTTTCATGATCCACATAGTCAAAGGCTTTGTTGTAGTCTATAAAATGTAGTC